GAAAGGAGGGGTTCCAGAGAGACGTGGTGTTTGTTTATTCTCAGCCTCTTACAAGTCAGCATCCCCTTTGCCCCTTGGCAGCTGTTCAGAAGGATGTTGGCTGTCCTGTCCTCTCTGCCAAGGAGAGTGGCTCTGAGAACACCCCACGGGCCAGGCATCTTCCACAGAAACTTCTTTCTTTTGGGCGTGAGGGTTACACTGAACCCAGAGGTGCTCTACACCCCCAGCCCTTTTTATTATTTTGAGACAGGGACTTGCTAAGTTGCCAGATTTGCAATCCTCCTGCCTCAGCCTCCCGAGCCACTGGGATTACCAGCACAACTGCAGCACCTCTCTCTGGACAGCTTTGACTGACAGCGTGTTGAACGCTGTGAGAATGGATGTTGATAGGAAACTGACCACACATGCAGGTCTCCAGCCTGCCGTGGTGCAAGCTGATGTCAGCGTGACCCACCAGCCTCTCCTCGGCTCCTCCCCATGCCCGTAACTGATGCACTTCTGCTGGGGGGTCAGAGGCCGCCCAGGCCTACAGGCAGGGCAGGTCAGGCTTGTGTAAATGTGGCCTTCACCCTCACCTCCCCAGGAAGGGAAAGGAGATGCCCTCTCCACGCTGGCTGCTCGCTGGCTCTCGGGCTCAGGATCTGTGCCTGTTTTTGACTCAGTTCCCGAGATCATGACTGGCCTGCTGCGCTGTCTTCCTCCCTCCTAGGGAGCTGGGGGGACAGCTGCGCCTCAAGGTGGATCAATAGGCAAGCCTGCTTGTAGGACGCAGAGGGGCCGTGAGAAGTCCGCGTGTACACCCCTCCAGGCAGAGTCGGGCTGGGAGCCTGGGAAGCTGAGTCCCTGTCACTGTCCTGCAAAGAGCTCCTCCTCTCCTAACCGAGAGCCAGAGTGGACTGTGGCAGCCACGCCCTGGAAGTTCCTTGCAGTCCCTTCTGATGGCCTGGCTCTCCTCTGTTAGGCCCACCAGGTGGCTTCCCACGGTGGACACTTCCCAACATAGGGTGTCATCCTCGTGCCCCGGCCCCTGTGGCCAGGGCCAGTTCCCTCTTTTGTTGTAATGGTCTTCTGTATCGTCCACCTGTCAGTGTCCTGTGCTACCCTCAGGTGACCAGAATAGTGCTGACACTCGGTGGACACTGAGTGTGTCTTTGATGGTGAGGGAGGGAGGCGCCGTCCTGCCTGAGCCTGGGGCTGCACAACCCACACAACTGTTTCTTCATGGGCTGCTGCTCCTCAGATGCCAGGGTCTCCTGGCCCCTCATCACTGCCCGACAGTCCTCATGCAACATGGTGTCAGTCCTCACTGCCTTCTCCCTCAGAGTCCTCCCTGGAGTGTGATTTCTGCTGTGGAATGCTCTGTAGCTGGCCTGTGAGAGGGCAGACAACCAGTGGGACTGGCCCTAACCCTGGGGCACAGCAAGCCCACTGGGGAAAATCCCCTGCTCGTTTGCTGGGGAAGTCCTGCACGTCCAGGTATCCTTCACTGCTCTCTCACCTCCACATCGTTCCATGGCCCCCACACAGTCCCAGAGGTGGGTGTAAGCTGGTGTGTCTTGGATGGCCAAGCCCTGGATGCTGGGCACTCAGAGCCGTGCTCCCCACTGTATCCTGACGGCCTGTCGCTCACGGCTGTCAATCTCGTTCACTTTGATTTATGAGCAGACCTAATGAGTTTGGGGAGCGGCTGTCTCCGGGGACGGGCCATCTATCTGGGAGGGAGCTGTTGAACTCTGCTCCTCCAGCAGCTGCAGGGGGTGGGGGACTAAGGGGTGTGGTCCCAGGGCAGCAGTTGGGCCTGTGCCCCTGGTCTCTGAGCCCCCGGCCCTCCACTGCCTTCCCTTCCCTCTTCTGTGTGTTGGGGTCACACAGGTTTCTTGTACACTTGCCTGTCTGGAAGCCAGGCCAGAAAGTGTCCCTTCTCTCCCACTCCCAGGAGACAGCCAGCACTGCCATGTGTCCCATGGTGGTGGGAGCCGGGGGCCTGCCTGTCCTGTCCTGGGGTTGGCGGGGGGCTCACCCTCAGGCCTCGATGGCCACTTCCTCGGGAAGGCAGGTCCAAACCTGTCCTTGTCCTGGTGCGGCAGTGTGTGCCCTTCCTGTGGCTCGCTGGGCCGATAGGTAGGTGGGCCTCCTTGCCCTGCTCCAGGGCCCAGGAGCTGCCCAGCACGGGGCAGAGGGAGCCGCCTCTTCCTGGAGCTGGCGCCGGGTCTGCCCTCCCAGCACCAGCAGCACTTCCGCACGGCCTGGCAGAGCAAGGGGACTTTGGACAGAAAGAACTGTGCTGGGCATGACTAAGAGGACAGGAGGATGGCCCACTGTCCCCCAGGTGCTCGTCAGGGAGCCGCCACTCCATGAGCAGGCTCTTCCTAACACTCCAGCTCACGAGACCTCAGGCGGCTCCTCACTCCTGGACAGCAGACAGCAGCAGGCCCTCGATGGTAGATCTGGGCTTTGGATGAAGAAGATCAGGAGAACCGAGCGGGTGGCTGGTCTAGGCAGGCGCCTTATCGGAAGACCGCGAGACATGTCTTCTTGCCACCTAGAGCCACAGCTTCGGAGATGTCCTAGAAGTTCTAGAGAAGTCCTACATCATGGGCCGGGGCCTGTGGCTCAGCGGTAGAGCGCTTGCCTCCCACATGTGGCCCTGAGTTCGGGGCTCAGCACCACATAAAAATAAGAAAACGAAGTAAAGGTTTTGTCCATCTACAACTAAAAAATTAAAAGTCCTCCATCATCACTGACCTAAAGGTACAACCCCCCCTTCCCAGATGTCTGCTCTGGGGACCGCTGTTGGCGGGCGCGCCTCAGCGGGGGTGGCGGGGTGCACAGGTGCGAGCGAGCTCAGGCCAGTCCTGCCGTTTTGGAAACCTCAATAACTTGGTTTGTTCAAGAGAGGGAAGGCCCCCGCTGGGCTCCCTAGTCAGCATCCCGAATAAGCAAGCCACTTTCCGCCTGCGTTTCCTACAGCTTCGTGGAGACCTGGTGCTGGGCAAGAAGGTGCGCAGAGAAGCCCCAGCTGGCATCCCGGCCAGAGAGCACTAATGGGGCTCACACTGGGCAGCTACATCTCTGCCTTCCTGCCCGCTGCCAGGACCTGGGGGCCAAGGCCCAGGTCAAGGAACAGACGGGATTTCTTTTGACTTCTTTCCAAATTCATGTCAGTCAGGGCCAGGGCCTGGAGCAGGTCCCCGTCACAGGTGGCACACTGAATGACAGTGACAGGGCAGGATTGAGATCTCACCGCCCCTTGGCCCTGCTCAACACCCTGCCCACAGCGGCACAGCTGTCAGCTGCAGCCTCCTGAACCACCAGCCCCGCCACCACGCAGCCTTGGCCCCAGCTGTACCCCACCCTGCTCTGCAGCTGGTGACCTTCCTGAGGCACAGGGCTGGCCCTGCTGGCTTTCTGAAGGCCCCCCATTCCTGCCCCAGCGTACCTGGGAGCAGGTCTTCCTCGCAGACCTCTGCCATTCACACCCCTCCTGCGCCCACCCCAGGAGTTTCTGGGATGAGCCAGACTGCCTGGGCCAAGACTTGAGGGAAGAACTAGGTCACTGCTTCCCCTTGACTGGCCAGGGCCGGGAAGATTTGTGACACCCTGGAGCGGCAGGCGTGGTGGGAAGGATCGGGCTGTGAGAGGCGGAAACAAATCATCTTCTTTATTGGCAATCTTCTCAGGCCTATTCCTGCACTCCCCTTCCCTCTGCCACCCCTCCTGGCCCCAACAGTGTCAGGCAGTTCTGATTAAAGTAATAGATGACCCCACCCCACTCCCCAGTGCATTGTGTGGGAAGACACTGGCCTGGCCTCCTCTGGGTCCCAGCAGAACAGCCTGTCCCCGGGAGGAGCCTGCGCCTCTGATGGGACTGGCTGTCAGGAGTGGCCAAGCGCCACACTGGCCTCTTCTCTCTCAGTCTCGCTTCACATTCACCCATGTCCCCATGGTTATCTGAGGGACCTGGGCGAGGCTAGAGGGGCTGTCAGGTCTGCTCTGAACAGGGACAGCAGGGGTTATAAACTTCAGACTGGAGACGGGGACACTGGTCGTCTCCGTGTTGTTAAGTAGCTAACAGGGCCAGTTCTAAATGATCCATAGAGCAGGTACAGAAGCCAGAGGGTTGCAGAAAGATCTAGAAGTCTCATCTTTTCAGAGTGCCAGGAACGCTCTCTGTTGATGGCTCAGTTCTTCCTGAACTCTGCTGTGTGCAGGTGGCTCTGCTGTGCCACCTCCAAGGCATTCAGGTGGCAGAGGACAGGCTGGTGAGCTGGTCTGCAGTGCCTCTGTATGAGGCAGCCCGGTCTTGGGCAGTGATAGAGGCCTGATTGCTCTAGTCAGGCAGGGTCACAGGTCTTCCTACTTCTGCAGCAAATCTTCTGTCCACTAGCTGGGCCACCAGGCCAGGAGGACAGAACCACAAGTCATTTGCCGCCAGCCTCGGTGCCAGCAGCTCAGGACTCAGTAGTCCCAGAGTTGCCCCCTGGTGCCATTTCTTCCCTAGTGTGACAGCTGGCCACTTCCCGCCTGCCGTAGGTGCTGGCTCCACGTCTGCACCCGGCATTCCTGCCTTTTTGCCCCAAGCCTGGGAGGACGCTTCCTTCCAAATGCTCTGTCCCTTCTGCCCTGCACTTGCCATCGGCTCCCTAGGCGCACCCTTTAAACCAGAGAGGGCAAAGGAACAGGTGTGCTGCCAGCCTGCTACCTGCCAGGAAGGGGACAGGGCCACCCTGCTGATACCCTAGCATAGCACTGCTCTGAATCATAACCAGACACCCCCACACTGGGCAGAGGGGACAGGGTGTAGAGAGGGGCAGGTGGGGCATTCATAAGCTCTAGTAGCCATGTTGACCTGCTCCACAATGTGGCTTTGGGTCGCATGAATCTGAATTTAAAGGTTCTTTCTTGTGGGTTCTTTCTAGCCCACCCACAGGTCCCCAGGCTACAGAGTCCCAGGTAGGGGACTGTCCCATGCCGTGGCTCACTCCCATCTTGTCTTCCAGCTTTCGCCATCATGATTGTGCTGGCCTTGGTCCGCATCGGAAAGGGCCAAGGAGAGGGGCACCCGCCCCTGGCCGACCCCTCAGGGCTCCGGAACCTGTTGGGGGTGTGCGTCTACTCCTTCATGTGCCAGCACTCCCTGCCGTCCCTCGTCACCCCCGTCTCCTCCAAGCGCTACCTCACACGACTGGTGTTCCTGGACTACGTGCTGATCCTGGCCTTCTATGGCCTCCTCTCCTTCACCGCCATCTTCTGCTTCCGTGGCGACAGCCTCATGGACATGTACACCCTCAACTTTGCGCGCTGCGACGTCGTGGGTCTGGCGGCCGTGCGCCTCTTCCTGGGCCTCTTCCCCGTCTTCACCATCAGCACCAACTTCCCCATCATCGCCGTGACTCTGCGCAACAACTGGAAGACGCTCTTCCACCGCGAGGGCGGCACGTACCCCTGGGTGGTAGACCGCGTGGTCTTCCCCACCATCACCCTGGTGCCACCCGTGCTGGTGGCCTTCTGCACACATGACCTGGAGTCCCTGGTGGGCATCACGGGGGCCTATGCAGGCACTGGCATCCAGTTCGTCATCCCTGCCTTCCTGGTGTACCACTGCCGCAAGGACACCCAGGTGACTTTCGGCTACGGGACCGTCAACAAGCACAGGTCCCCGTTCCACCACACCTTCTGGGTGGGCTTCGTGTTGCTCTGGGCCTTCTCCTGCTTCTTCTTCGTCACAGCCAACATTGTTCTCAGTGAGACCAAGCTCTGATGGCAGGGTGTGCCTGGTGACAAGACGGCCAGGGACCCCACCACGGCCTTGCCGCTGCAGAGCAAGATTTTTGTTGCCACCCAGGGCTTCATGGGCAGGAAGACAGGGGCGCTCAGAGGGGACCTCTGCATCTCCAACTGGGGGTCTCCTCCCGACCCAGGGCCCTATCTAGTCTGTGCTGGCCTGGTCCCCTGGAGGGCCTGGTCCCCTGGAGCAGCTCCCTGCCGTGCCCTCCTGCCTAGGGCAGCACGCAGCTGCTCTCAGGTTTCAGGATGGTCCCAGTCACACTGCTGCCCCCTCCAGCTGTTGGAGGCAGGCTCCTCCCTCCATGTAGTAGCACATGCAGTGCTGGCACTGCTGCTATTTATACCAGACTCCGTGTCCCCTCCTCCGCCCTCCCCAGCCCCTTCCTGCGTCCTTGCCTGTCTACCAGCAGCTGCTGTCCCTTCAGAGACAAGTCCCAGGCCCTGGTCCTCTAACCTGGCCTGCCTATGGCAGGCAGCACCCAACTCTCTGCCAGGCCTGAGAGTCGCTAAGTGCCGCTCCTAGTGACAAGAATGGGAAGTGCTAACTGGCACCAGGGTCCCCGAGCCAGAGCTGTGAGGGCCCTTGCTGTGGCCACCATCTCTGGGGCACTGCGCCAATGGCACATCCCTTCCCAGGGCACGCGGCAGCCTAGAAGCTGGGTTTAAAGTCTTTCGCTTGTTTAAAGTCTTTCTGACTACCCCCTGGAGCCCTCTGGGCCTCCTGCAGTATAGGGGGCTGCTGGAGGGTGCTGCCCACCACCACCCCCAAGGGCTTACCGCCCTGGGCATGAGGCGCGGAGAGGACTTCGTGGTTCCCACAGCGGACGGCCAGGCCAGCAGGCAGCAGCTGCCTTGCTCCAGTCCACACAAGGGTGCTCCCTCCAGAGTCTGGCCACGGGTGTTCAGCGTGGCGCTCCTCCTGCCCCTGAGTTCCGTGGGGTAGGAAGAGATACCTGCCCGTTCTTGTGGAAGGAGGCCAGGCTCCCAGCCACCTCCACCTAATCACGCCTGCACCTGCTGGGCAGGCCACCTTGGAAACAGATGACTCTGTTGAACTCTGCATTTTCAATGTGCCTTCTGCTTCAGGCCCTGGGGATCCTTCCTGACCCTGGCTTGTCCCCAGCCCTGGGCCTGGTCCCATTGTCCTAGAGCGCAGAGCAGCCTGCCAGGGAGCTGCCTCTCTGGGGAATGGGGAACTCAGGCCCCTACCCCGCCCTCTTGATCTCAGTGCCTTGCTTAGCCCTTGTGAAGGAACCTTCACCACCTCCTCCTCTGTGTGTGTGTCGCTCTCTGACGTTTGACGGTACACTCTGGGGCCCAGGGAATGTGGGTCTGCAGGCAGCACCGCTCTGCTTCTGGCCCTGGCACCCCTGCCCCTGAGAACCCCTGAGTCATAAATTGGCCTCACTCTGCTTTCTCGCCACTGTCACATGTGGGCAGTTCTTGCACCTGCCCCCATAAGCCATCATCTTCCATCCATGTGAAAAACATCTGCTCCTCCCCACCTGCTATGGTGGTATCTTCCCAGGAGACCCTGCCCTGAGGCGGGCCAAGCCAGCTGGCGCCAGGGTGGTAAGGCCACGTATAAGGAAGAGCTGCCCATGCCCTGTGCTAGGCCCTCCCTGAAGCTGCCTGCTGTTTGCTGAGAACTCAATTAAAACATCTGTACTTACCTTCTCCATTTACACTCCCTCTTGCTTAAGGACAAAGCAAATTAAATCATCCTGCTGCCCCCGGGCTCCAAACCAAATTTTGGAAGCAAATTTATTAGCATCATAAAGCCCAGGTTGATTTATGTGACAATCTGGAGCCACACACAGCAGTGGAGTCTGGTGGCTGCATTCCCCTCCTCCTCTGAGCCCCAGCTGCCCCAGCCCTGGAGGGAATTGACCTGAAGTGACTGGGAGTCACAGATGCCGCGCAGGGACCCTCCCCACTAACTGGTTGCTCTGCACCTTCATCTCCACCTGCCACTTGCCTTGGGAGAAGTCAGATGAGGTCACCTTTCTCTCCACTTATGGCTGGGTGGATTCAGGACAAGGGATGAAAGACCCTAGCAGCTAGACATCCCGAAGTGATGCTGCTCACCACGTGCATCAAGCACAATTGTGAGTTTTTATATCAATGTTTGAAGCAAGTTGGGTCATAGTTTCCGTTTGCAGAGGGGCTCTAGGGGTCATTGGTGAGGAGAACAGGGATGCCAGCTGGATGTCAGCCTGGCACAAGATACAAGTGTCGTTGTGGCAGTTTTAAACACAGCAGCCTCTACCTGTCTCATCCACCCAGAGCAGCCCCAAGGGCAAGTCAGGTCAAGGTGGGAGAAGACAATCTTTGCTTGTTCCCTGCCAAGGCGCCAGGCCCACCTGAGCACTGGCGCCTGCTGCCAGCCCTCTGGCTGTTCCTCACCTGAGGCCAGAGAGGCGGCTGTGGGCTTGTAGATGGGGCAGATGGCAGGTGACAGGCTGAGGCACTGCTGAGTTGTGGAAGGTAGCAGTGGGCCCCAGTCCAGGCCCCAGGCCACACATCTGTGCTCACCACATGGGGCCAGGAGCAGCCCTGGCAACAGGCTGACACCAGAGTGGTGAGGAGCAACCAGGCAGCCAGCAGAGGGGAAGTGGCAGCTGTGCCAGGCCCCGGGGAGTAGAAAGCTGAGATTTCAGCCCGCTCAGGGGTCAGAGGCCCTAGCAAGGCTGACTCATGCCAAGGGCCACTGAAAATCTGGCCCTTAGACCAAGATCCAGAGCTACAGGAGAACCCTGCCACCCCTCTTCCCTGGGGGCTGGGGCTGGCAGTGTCAACCTCATACTGGAGAAAGGGAGAAGTGACCTGTATAGAGGGCCTGCCATGTGTCTGTCACAGTGCTAAGTACTTCTTCGAGCCTCCTCTGCCAAGTGGGGTAACTACCTATATGACTGATGGGTCGTGGAAAATTAAGGACTGAGCCCAGAACCTGCCACAGAAGTGCTCAATAAAGCTGCTGTTTACTGATGCCCAGTTACCTCCCTTGTCACTCACCAGCCGTAACTGCACTCACAGCCCAAGACCTGGGACTCAAATTTAAGACTTCAGGTATCTAATTGGTTTCATAGCCTTCTAAAGAGATGGTGGCGTGTGATGGCCGTTGCCTGCAGTACACAGTCAGGAAACGATTCTTCAGGGTCTGGAGGACTTGAGGGGAGGAAAGGATTGGCTCTGGTTCCCCAGTCCTCTGGGAGACCTGCACACCTCCCCTTTCCAAGAGCCAGGCTGGCAAGGCTGGAGGGGCCTGGTCTGGGATATCATGCCCACCCTTTTGTGAACTTTGTCCCCCACCCTGGGGGTAGATGTGAGCACTGGGCTAAAGACAAGGGAAATACAGCCAGGACAACTGCAGGAGGAAAGCAGGTCAGACAGAATTCCCTGTGACTGTGGCTGGGCCTCTCTCTTCCTGGGTCCCACCAAACAGAAAAGCAGCTTTGGTGTGTGGCTCATGGGGCCCTGGTTTAGGATGCTTTCCCATCCAAGGCCTTGCTTCCTCCCTTTCCCACCCCCAGCCTTTCTGCCTCCACTTGGAGAGGAAGGACACCAGCCCTGAACCACATCCCCTTCCCAGGGACTGTGTCCCCCACTCATGTTCCTAGATGGCAGCCAGTGCTGGCCCGGTGAGCAGGAGCGGCCCCTCCTCCCAGCCAACAGCAGGCTCGGCTCCACAGTTGGCTCTTAATTATCTTTCCAGTCCTTGATTATTAATGATCTTGGGCAATGAGCAGAGCAGCCCGGCCTCGCCCTGTCCCTGGCCCCACTGCCATAGTCTCCCCCAGGGCTGCACCAAATCCTGACTCAGGGAGAATGTAGGGTCCCACTCAGGGATTGGTAGCCTACTGTTAACCCTCTCACTACCGCGGCTGTGGCCAAGGTCAAGCTCCTTCCAGAGCACTCACCTAGACTCACACCCCCTACCTGTCTGATTCTGGCTCCAGCCCAAGACCATCCATAGGGCAGAAAAGGTGAACTTGGCCGTAATGTAGGAGGGCCACCTATTCTTGGGGTGGTCAGACTCTAGCCACAAATGGAGATGTATCCCACCCTACTGTATCTCAACTGCTCCCACCTCTAAAACCAAACCAAAAGGTCAATTCTCATGGCCTCTACCCAGGCCTCTCTTTGGAGACTGAAGAGGGAACCCTGCTTCCTTGGCACCAGCTGGGACATCACGCCAAACCTTTTGAGAACTTTGTCCCCCACCCTACCTGGCTCCCCAGGAAGGGCACTGGGCAGAGAGAAAGGGAGCCAGGCAAGTCTGTGCCTCTTTTCATGTGGACAAATCTGCTTGGCCTCCACCCAACCTGTTAAGGACAATCAGGAAAGGGTTTGACAGAATTGATAGTGCCTACCATGTTTGTGGAACAAATGGAAGGAGGATTCCTTGCTCGCTTCAGTCATTGAGGGGGATAAATGTAGTTGCAGATGTGAAAACACCAAAGACTATAACAAGAGCCATCTTTTCACATGGCCCAGGGCAAATGGTGTGACAGAGAAAGAAGGTCAGCTGAGAACCCCAGGGGGAGGATGAGCGGATGGAACAGTGGGCAAATTCTCCCACCTGAGAAGTCCTGGCACCTGGAAGACTGAGCCTCACCTGGCCCTGGATGCCAGCCAGGCCAGGCTTCAGAGCCCACAGAGCCCATGCAGCCAGCCAAGGGCCAGGCAAGCCTGGCAGGCTCCCAACAGACCTTCCGCTGTCTTCCCACCCTGACACTGTCAGGCTCCCAGGTGGTCCCTGTCTTGGCGAGACACCTGCAGTCCCTGGTCTGGGCCTCCCTTCTCAAGGAGACTGAAGACTGAATTCCATTCATCACCACCAGCGCCCCCATGCTGATCACATCTGGCACCAGGGTAGATTGAGTTGGCACTGAATACCAAGTGGCTTCTGTGACCTGGAGCCCATCCCTCAGCCTCACCTTCTCCCCACATCCTCCCCAGACACCCCTAAGACTCCCCCAGGGTAAGCCACCCACTTGCTCCCAGAAGATGCCCTGTCAAGACTGAATATCTGGATATTCCCATGATGCTCCTGTTGCCGACAGGTTGTGATGCCCCTTTCAGGATGCAGAATGAGCAGCCAGGCGCAGTGAGTTGTAAGAGGTTGGTTTAATGTCTCCGTACTTAGAAACTCCAGTCAGGTGGAACAAGGAGCAGGATGGTCCTGCCCCACCCCCAGGTCTAGCCTCCGTGCTCTCACGCCAAGGCCACAGCAGCCACGACCAGGGCCAGACTAACACCAGGGCAGAGACACCCTCAATGGCCCTGCTCCCTGTGACACATGCTGGATGGATGGGGCTTTGCGTGATGAGGACACAGCCAAAGCCTGCCGAGGTCACTGAGCTGGCCATGGAAGAATCATCTGCCACTGGGGCCCCTGGCCAGCATATGGTTGCAGAAGCCAGGAAAGCCCAAGGCTGCCTGTCCCTATCCCTGACAGTGCCAGGCAGAGAATCCAGCCCAACAGGAACCAGAACTACCGCACCTCACACCTCTGACTCCAGGCTTGAGATCCGCCTCCAGGTGCAGGGTCTTCGGGAGCCTTTGGTCCCACAGGCTCCCCTGCTGACCTCTTCCAGCACCCCACTGTCCCTGTAACCCGTGCTCAGTCCCAAGGTCCTGCCCCTGTGCGCTGGAGGCCCCCAGGACCCAG